AAAGAATATTAAAGAATATTAGAGTATATAAAAGGATATTGAAAGATGTGAAAAGATGTAAGAAAATGTGAAAAGATATTAAAAGATGTGAAAAAATGTGAAAGAATATGAGAGAATGTTAAAGGATATCAAAGAATATGAAAAAATATTTAAAATTATTATTCAAGTATAATTATTTCACCAAAATTAAAAATGATCTTCCACTAAACTATTCTATTATATACATGAATATTGTAATACAAAATAATAAAAATATAGATCCCAAATATTAAATAAGATATAGTATTAAAAATAAAAACATAATAATAAATATAGTAATATATAATATAGAAATAGAGATATTGATAAAATAAATAAAAATTATGAAAATATGTAATTTTACATAATCAGGAAAGATTAAGAAATTAAGAAATTTTATGTTACTATAGTAATAATATATTAACTTATTTTCTGACTTTACTAAAATATAATTTATTATTATAATAGAATATATTAAAAATGAATATATTTACTATAATTATTAAATAGAAATAACAGATTATTTTTTATATAATTTATTATAATATATTTGATTTTTATTCTAATTTTAGAAAAATAGAAAAATATGAATATATCTATTTTTAATTTAGAAATATTATAAAATAATTAGAAAATTAATATTAAATATATTAATATTTATTAAAAACAAAGATTTAAGTTAGCTTTTTTAAATATTAAACTTTTAATAAATTATATTGATATAATTTGTTATCTTATATTTAATAATAATTAGAAAAGAGAGAAGATATATTTATATATTTTAATATTGATAAATATGATAATAAATTTTAAATATATAATAGTACTAATATTAAAAGCTAGTTTAAAAGTTTGAAATATGATAGAAAAAATATATAATAATTCTAAAAATTCTTTTATATAACTAGTATTATTAATACTAAAGAGTGCTAATAAGTTTAAAGAAGTATTTGTATAAGAAATAGAGTAATATAATATTTTTATAAGAATTATAAATCTTTATAACTTTTAAAAACTTAGTATTTTATAAAAAAATTCAAATAAAATTTGAAAAAACTTCTATATAAATTCAATATGCTATAAAAAAAAAACTTAAAAGAAGTAAATGCTTAAAATTATAAAATAAGATACTTCTAAAAATTATTAACTATATGAATAATAATAAAATATAATTAATAAATATATTTTTATCATATATGATATTATTATAAGAAGTAATCTAATATTTATAAGTTAAAAGATCTATTAAAAAGGATAAATTATAATTATAAAAAAGCATAACTGTAAGATATTTGTTAAAACTAGATGTATTAAAAGAAGAATATATATATAGAAAAACTAATTTATATTTTTTATTATATATATATAAGATTAGAAAAGTTATTATTAATAAAAATTTATTTCAATCTGTTTTATATAATAAACTAATTAATTTAATTAAATATTTGATAAACTAAATCCCAAATATTTATTTAAGAGAGAAAAACTTTAAGTAATTGAGAATTCTGAAAAAGTCAAGTATTTATCTGATGAATTTATATGAAACTATCATTTCTTAGAATCAATATATTTTATTTATATTTCTAATAATAAATTTAATATGATATAATAGTATACTGAGAAATATTATAGAAGTAGCTTAGCTAAAACTAATAAAATTAACAATCAGAATATATATATTTGAATATGCAAAAATGAACTTCATTGGTTTGAATAACTATTTCTATTGATCCAGAAGAAATTTGAGTGATATTTTTTATATTATCATACTTATAAGCATAACTGTCAATATATTTTTGAAGATCTACTAGATAAGAAATTTCCATCCTATATTTTTAAATAAAATGCAACTAGATAAATATAACAAAGAGTTAGAACTTGCAAGATAATCTAGATATACAAAGAAAGCATGATCAAAAAAAGTGAGATATATGTAAGAAGCAAGGTATAGATCTCATTTTGATGTCATTTAACTCAGATTTATATGCATTTATAAAAAGCAAATTGCAAGAGAGGGATTATTTATCACATAAAGAATAAATTCATAATATCATTATTTTTTGATATAATAATTTAGCATTCCTTAGCTTATTCAAAATGAAAGAAAAAAAAGGCCCATATATATATATATATACCAACTAGAGGAGATATCTAACAAATCTTCAGAATAAATGAAATCTAACAAATATGTTCTCAACTGACCATTTAGATTACTAGTTTGTGAGGGCACTTATTATTAAAAAAACAAATATGGTTATTAATCTTATGCTAGGTAACAAACTACAGCGCATGTTCAAGAGGAAAAAAGGTGAGCAGTATATCAAAGATAATGATATGGTATTAATAGGAAAACATTCTGAACCAAAATGGGAGTTAGTTAAAAATGCGTTTCAGATTTTTGCAAATGGTCCCAAACCATATTGAGAGGATGCCACATTTAAATAATAGTACCAGATAAGATCCCTGATATAACTAAATTCTCATCAGAAAGGAGCACAGTTGTTGTTTTCGAGGATTTATGTGCTGAATCAAAAAAAGGTTCAAGATCAAATTATTCCTTACTTTATTAGTGGTCAGCATTTAAATATAAGTCTAATATATGTAACCCAGAAATATCAAGCTGTACCTAAAATCATTCGTGAAAATATTTCATGCCTAGTTATGCTCCAAGAAAGTGAATCTGGAGATAATATGTGCAGAATTGTGCGCCAATATACAGATAATCCCAAAAAAGCATTGACATTTGCGAGATTGAGATTTCATAGTCTATGATTTCACTAAACCGATAGATGACGATCTCGCAGTTAGATTTGGTTGGGATACCCCACTGAAATTTGATGAATAAATCAAGGTTTAACAATCAAATAACTATTTATTTTTTTCGTTATTTATTAATGCAAAAATAAAATACATCTTATCTACCACTTATATTTTTAAGCTGACCGAATCCTGCCGTGTTTTGAAGTTAGAGTAGATGTAGGGCCTAGCCTATTACTTTGCAATAAAAATAACAAGCACAATCTATTATCTATACAAGGGATTTTTGGTGTTGGATAAAATGGGCTCATGTAAAAATCAAAGTAAAAATTAGCTATTGCTTCGCAGGTACATAGTGCCTAATCATCACGAAATAGCAAGAAATAAATTACATCAAATAAATTATATGTATATCAATATATATTTATGCTTCTAATTGTCGGAGATGCTTACTAAATCTATCTCGTAATTGGTTTTTCTTTCTACCTAGCCAATTGTATGGAATATTATATTCTTTATATTCTTCTCTAAGAAAGAAATTAAGTATTTGTGGGTCATTATATCTTCTATTCATTGCAGCTTATTCAGCTTTCCACAGATTAAATTGTTCTTGAGTCTGAGGATTTTTCACTTTGCGAGAAGTTAGACCTAGAAATTTCTTATTAGAAGTGCCATCATCTCTCATTGCATTCCAAGCTTGGGTTGCTAATGATTCGGGTTTATTCTTATAATTTCGATAAGCTATTTGTATGATTCTAGCACGTCCGAAATCCATTTTAGGTTTATTACATTCGTGATTCCAATGATCTTGCATCAGGTCTTTAGGTTCGAGATGATCAACATACCTTTGTCTAGTAAAATGGAATAATTTTTAGGATTCACATCATTGATTTTTTATGAGTTTTCAGCAACTAAAACAAATAGCCATATGGCTCTTATGAATTCTTGGTCTACGATAATTGAAATTAACAAATTTACCTTGACCAAATGATGCAAATAAAGCAAATCGATGGTACACACTAAATTTTCCAGCATTCAATAAATCCTGTAAAGGTACTCTGACTCGTATTGCCCATTGAACAGCTGTTTCGTTCTGTTTTATGGTAGATAAGGTGTCAAATAATCTCTCATTACCGAAGAGTTCGTCATATCGTTTTCCATCAATACCTATATAATTCCCAATATATGAGACGGCATACTTGAGATCAAAACCAGGGCGATTATTAATATGTTTGGGTAGTGTTCTATCTTTTTTATCAATAATAGATATCGAAACCAGACATATTATCGATTATATGAAATTTAGATAATGCTATTTTTAAGGTGATTTGACCTATTAGACTTATTAGATATACATAATTAAATCTGAATTCATTTTTAGTGTAGATATAAATATCGTTTTGTATCATTGTTCATAATTTAAGGGATAAACATATGGGTATCTCGAGTTCAAGCATTGGTATTTATATAGGTATATATATTATGATCTATTTTGGCATGTGGGCATGTGAGATCTATTTCGGGTGTATTACAAGTATACGATTTAATTTTCTGATGTATGACACCACCATTTGAGATCGCCCGGTCCGAGATAATCAAATCCGAGATGTGCAATTTTCTACCAGTTAATTGTCTTGACACTTTACTAATAGACGAGAGAAAAAACAAAAATGCCGAGTATCATATTCCGGTAGTAGATTTTTTGAATAATATCGCAAATATAATCAACGAACGATTTGAAACCACCTATACAGGATATCGATGTAATAATAGATTTAAAAATCTTGTAAGAGATCATACCGTAAGTGTTTATTTCATGTTTGTATACCAAGGAAATACATTTTCTGATAACAATAATGAAATTTTACCAGTTAATGGAACAGTATATAGCTGGAAGTAGAGAAGTAGAACTGGTGAGCGATATTTTGAAGAATTTCGTTCTCGTTTTTGGGAGAGACCAGGTAAGTTAACCAAATATTATACACTCTACTGTAGTAGCAAATATATAACTCGTGGAATTACCTTGCATGTGAAAGTACAGAAACACCATTTGACTTAATGCATAATGCAAACGCATCCACGAGAAGACGCCACCGTAACCGTACTCCACCACCAACTTATGAAGTACCATCAATCCCAAATGAATCGCCGTGAACCCACTGCTGATCAAAGAGGTCGATCCGCATCACCCACCCGAAGAGTTCCTAGCAGAAGGGATGAGAATACTAATCGAAATAATGTAAAAATAATTTGGGTGGAGTTTTAGGCAATAACACAAATAATGTGGGTGGAAATACATAAATGATGCTGGTGGGAATTTGGGTGGAAATTTAGATAATGCGACATACTCATCTTCATCTGAGTTGGCAAATATTACCTCAGCCCTTAATATATCTGCATCACGAAATGACAGTGATTTTAGTATGTCCGATGTTGGAGGTAGTCAGCCACCCTCTTATATGGAATCTATAAATGAGGAAAGTTAGACCTTGCAGAATTTCGTCTGAAAAAGTAATAAATTTTACCTGAATATTTGGTTATATTTTTGTTATGTGGATAAAATCACGTGATTTTATCAAACCCCGATATGATAAATGCCAATATAACGAATTTATTTATACTATAGAAGCATAATAAAACAAGGCTTGAAACCTTGGGTAAATTTTATTAAAACTGGACACGCGTGTCCGGGCGCAGTAAACATATTATTAATTTACAATTCTATGTGAAAAAAATTTATTTACAATTGTGCGATCAACATTATTTTGAGATAAATTTAATCTATTTGAAAATAACCGTCTTGCCTCTTCTCTCAAACCAACCTCGAAATATCCAATGGCGGAAGCCACCATCACCTAGCAAAGTAAACACAGTGTTGTAACCTCTTCCTATAACATATACGTCTGTTCTGCGTGTATGTCCAAATATACTCACTGGTTGTTCATAGCGGAAGTGTTTGTGCTGACCATTAATTGTATGATTTTTGTTTGTAACAAGAACGCTACATAATGGGAAGGCTGCTTCGAAATGGTTTAAGAGATTCGCCAAGTATTCTTCCCGGTCGATTATGTCAGATGAACATATACAGCCACTAGCTAATTCATTCGTTTTGTTTCTAACTGCATCTGCAAAGTCAATGCCTTCACGCAGATCGAATTCCATAGTAACACCACCCATTGTTATAATTTTCATAACTCTTCTCCGAACTGCAAATTATGCTTTCATAAGAATAGAAGCTCCTACGGTAAACATCTCTGTTATAAAAAATATGTAATAAATAAAAAACATACTTTTTTTGCTTGACAGGGTTGTATCGGTTCAGTTGGTTCGATTAGGTTTAAAAATCAACAAGAAAAATTGCGAAATTTAAAGAGATATAACACGGCAAATTTTCTATACGTTTGACCTGGTATTGTTTTTATATCGTTAAAAAATCTAGTTTTTTGACACATTCGGCTAGAAAAGCGAATTCAATCCTTGGATTGGTTATCACTCAGTTATAAGAATTTTAAACCCATGATACTATCTACTGTATCTACAAGATTCCAATTATAGGAAATCCAATTATAGGAAATCCAATTATAGGAATCCAATTATAGGAATGAATCCAATTGTAGGAATCCAATTATAGGAGTGAATCCAATTGTAGGAACCCAATTATAGGAATTTTAAACTCATGATTCATGAGTGTAAAATTCCTATAATTGGACTCTAGTGTTACGGGTGACCCACGGCCAGGTCGGCCAGGCCGATCAGGCCGACCAGGCTGGTCACAATTCAATGAGACCGCAAGGTTGAACGCTTACCTTATTTGGTATACTTCTATTTATAGTAATAATGCCTGCCGGCCACAGTGTGGCCAATCGAATTATTTATAGCAGGGACAATTTAAATCGTGAAACGTTGCATTGCATTCAGGTATTCTTGTTACTTTTTCGCTATAACTATTCGCATTTGAGAAAGATGGAATGGTGCAGGATGAATGAAGTAAGAGAAAGCGTTCCGTAGTTTCTAATAACCAACTGTAATTTGTTGTTTATAACGCAAGTACATTTGCTACGCAAAGTGGAACTTCAAATAAACCAACTCAAAGTGAAACTTCAAATGAACTGACTCGCCATGAAATTTCTCATGAAACTTATGAAAACTTTAATGTAGAAATATATGAAATTACTTATGATACTCTTCAAGAAATCTCTTATGAAACTCCTCAAGATAACCAAAATGAAAATGTGATAACTCTACCACCACCATCACCTTTACCTTTACCAATTCTATTCACTTTAACATTCAATACTTCAACACTTGCATCACAACATATTGCTATTTTATCAATGGATGTTCACCAATTCCAACAATCACAAAGCAAATGGAGTTCAAGCTGGATGTGGGATTATATACATGTGGATTTGAGTACTAAAATATGATATTGTACTGTATAAGTAATAGAAAATGATATTGAAAAGCCATGTAATATAAAATTTGTAGCTATAACAAGTATTACAAATATGAGAAATCATTTAAGAAATGTTCATCAAATTTTAAATACAATCAATTCAGCAAAAGTATTGAATCTTATCCTTAATCAAATATAATAGATATTGAAAATATATGTCAAAAACATAAAGCTATATAAAATTATCAAATAACATTATATATGACTTATTTATCTTGTCAAATTTATTGTTAATAATCTTCAATCTCTTAGTATTACTAAATCAGAGTCTTTTATTTACTTAAGTAATAAACTAGATTGATAATTTATAATTCTTTATATAAAAATAAACAAAACAAAAATTTTTAATACTATTATATTTATTAAAAACAAATTATAAAAATTTATTAAAGATATAATAATAATATATAACTTTATAACTGATTTTTGAACATAATTTTATCAATCTTATATTGATATTAATTAATATCAAACTTTAATTTTTATTAGATACTTTTAATAATTAAAAAATTTTCTTATAATCATTTAAATAATAGAATTACTAAATTTTATAATAATTATTTGATAAATAGAAAATAAGTAATTAAGTTATTACTAATATTATAAATAATATAGCTAATATATATATTATAATATAAAAATTTATATTAAATATGATTAAAATATCAGACTTTAATAACATATGCAAAAGTTCTTAATAAGTTTTTAATAAATTATAATAAGTATTAATAAAAAATTTATTATTTATAAAAATTAATCAATAGTATTTTAATATTAAATATCTCTACTTTAATCTTTAGTGAACTTGAATCTATTCAAAATATAAAAATAAAATGAAATTCAATATATCTAATCTTTATATATCTTTTGTAATTGAAATATATTATCTAATTACTAAATACTATATTATTAAATAATAATAATATAGTAAAAAAAGATAAAAAAGAATTAGAATATTCATTTTTAAATTATAAAAAATAACAAGTATTAAAGAAATTGATATATTTATTAAAGCTCTTTATATAAGTTATTGAACTTATTAGTGAAAGTTATTATTTAATTTTAAGTATAATATATTCTATTCTAACAAAACTTACAGCTTATTTTTTGACAAAAAGTTTAACTATTACTGATAAATTAGTTTTGAAAGCTTGCAATATAATTAAAGAATTATTAGATCAATAATTATTGAATATTTTATAGCTTATTTAGATTCATAATTTAAGAATATGAAATTTGTCAGTACAAAATAAAATAATATATAATCTTAAATATTAGAAGAAATAAAAGCAGAAAATAATAAATTTTCAATATCTACTCTAATAATTTTGAACAAATAAATTTATTCTTTGATGATAAGAATTCAATAAATAAATACTCTCCAATATCATAAATTCATAAATATTCTCTTTCTAATTCTCTTTATCAAAAAGAAAATCCATTTGTATGATGGAATAATAATATAAAAACTTTTCACATCATATTAAATAAGCATGAAAATATTTTTCTATTCTTGCTATATCTGTTTTTTCTGAAAGACTTTTTTCAGATGTAGGAAACATAATAATTGAAAAATGAAATTATCTTTCTTCTGATATTATTCATGATATTTTATTTTTAAAACATAATAGTAAGCTTTTTAGTATTTTATCCAGAGCTTAAATTATAAAAAATATTTAGTAATTTATCTTTTTTTAATAAATTATATATAATTTTAATATTTTCTTTTTGAAAATTATACTAGACTGGCCCAGCCAATCTGGCTAATAAAATTATAACAACTGGATTGATTAATAAAAATATAGCAATTCACATTACTATATGATATTATTTATTTATATCAAGATTCTAATTATAAAAATTTTAAATTCATGATACTATTTATACTAGAACAAGAATTAGTTTATTATTCATTTACAATCAGAAATAATATTATTTTTGACTAAAGTTTCCAAATACGTAATTAAAATATGAATACTTTAATTAATAATCATTTTTATTAATCAACTTCCAGACTTGCAAACTAATATCTTTTTTTCATACAGATTTATTAGTATTATAAGTAATAGTAAACATAAACTTTCAGTAAGTTTTTTTCTAGACTTGAAAAAGATAAATTAATTTACTGTCAGATAATAATCAACTGATATATATATATTAAAAATTATTGAAACAAATTGGTGAAATTTTTAATTCATTTTTAATACTATATGTTTTATATAGGTAATAGTATAAAAATAATAGATAGATTCTTTATTCTTTTCAATTTTTATTATAGTTAATAAAGTACATTAATATAATTTTATATCAATATTTTTTTCATGTGATTAAATTTTTGAATATATTTGCATCTTATATAAAATAATGGCAAATACACAATCTGAAATTGATTTATTAGAAAAACAGATTTCTAAGCTTGTATCTGAGAATGTCAAAATTAAAAAGAAATATATTGAGGTCAAGATTGAGAATGTGAAGCTAATATAGACTATATAGTGATTATTATAAGTAATGAGAATTATTATTATGATCATAAATTTTACAAATTTTATTCATTTGACTTATAGTTTTATAGAAATGTAAATCAAATATAGGCATTCAAAAAATATATATACATTAATAGTTTATTTTTTTTCTATTATTTTCAATTACCTCATTTACATGATCTGATATTCTCTTTACTAGATTAAGATACAAGTTCATGGTAATATCCTCCTATTTCTTTCTAATTAATCCATATTAATAACTAATGCTAATTGATTTTTCTTTTCAAACTATTTTATTGACTCATTTTTTCACTCTTTTCTTGATAATTGCCCAGAGATTTTCTATTAGATTAAGATCAGGACTATAGGATGGCCATTCAAGAAGCTTTAGAATCTGATAATGAATGAATACTTTTGTTTCTGTGACTTGATACTTTAGGTTATTATCTTGTTGAAAGATCTAACATTTTCTCATAATTCTATGTGCATTTTCAAAAAGATTATTAGTTAAAATTTCATGATAAAATACTACATTCATATTTTGGGTAAACATATGAAAGCCAATTGTTCTATGTGCAAAAAATGTACTCCAAACATGAACTTTCTCTGGATATTTTAGAACTTTCTTCTGTGGAATACTTATTTTATCTTTGTAAAATATATTTATAGTATTTTGGAACATTTAAAATGTGGTTTCATCTGAGAATATTATAATTTTCTAGTTTTTTTTGCAATATTTTTTTACCTATTTCACTCAAGCTAGATGATGTTTTTCTGAAAGCAGAGGCATAGTTTTTGGAAGTTTTGAATGATATCCAAGCTTATTAAGCTTACAGTTTACTGTTTGTGTAGATATTTCAACCTTGGATTGAAGTTTTGTGACAATTTTACCACAGGTAAGATACTTGTCATTTGTAATGATTCTTTCTAATGTACATCAATCTTGAGAAGTTAAAATTATAGGATGTTCTAGACAAGAAATAGGCTTGAGTTTATTATTTTTTTTAGTTGAGTGATATATTTATATGCTGTAAAGAAAGGAATACCACTTTTTTTTGCTAAAGTTGAGATATCACAGACATCACATTTTCAAAAGTGACTTACAGTCTCTTGTTGGTTAATAATTAGGATTTCTTTCATTTGTAATGAAAAAAAGAGGGAAAACTAAGGATTGTTTTTTTTTAGGTTTGTTTTTATGTCACATTGATAAATAAATTGTCATTAAAATGTGGCTG